CGGACTCCGCACAGGGGGTGTGGGGGTAGGCTTCCCTTCTCACATTTCCCCACCAGTCCCTCAGCTAGAGGAGGGGAGATGGGCAGGGGAGGTCCTCTGGCCCGAAAAGAGGGGTAAATAGTCATGGTCAAAATGCTGAAGAGGCCAGAAAGCCCTTCAGCCTGGGTTTTGGAAGCCCTTTAGATGGGGGCTTGTGCTTTGTGCTGTTTGCTCACTGCTTCTCTGCGGGCCCTCGGACACCTGCCTGCCCATTTTACCCCTAAGGAACTGAAGCGACTGTGTACTAGTTACAATAACACGCTGGTTTAAAACACATTATAAACATTTATTGCAGCCATACTATGGCAAAGCTGTGCACTCAGCATTGGGAAGACCAGGTCTTCATAATAGTCCCTTCCTGAAAATAGGACAGACAGTCGCTATTTGGTGGGACACAAGGCCCTTGAGTCAGCAGAATTAGCCTCCTCGCTCTTCCCCTTCCAAGTTCGATGGCCTGAAGCGAGTTACCTAGTTCATCGGAGCCTCACACGTTCCGCAGCCAGTAAGTATTTATTGAGGGCCCACTGCTTGCCAGTTACTGTGTTAGGCACCGGGGATCTGAGTAGTGAGCAAGAACACGGTCCCTGACCTGGTGAAGCTCAAACTCTATTCATTCAACTATACTTCCTGACTTCCTGTGATGTGTCAGGCCCTGTTCTAGACACTGAGAACAAAAGCCACAAACAAAAAATCCCTGCCCTCCTAGAGCTGACATTCTAGTGGAAGTACACCAGCATCAACAAACAAGTGATGTCAGCTGGCGATGAAAGCTATGGAGAAAAATCAGTGTAAAAGAATGAAAAGCAGGGAGGAGGTGTTGTAGTGTTAAATAGGGGGAAGGAAGGCCTAAACAGGAAGGTGACATTTGAGCAAAGACTTAAAGGAGAGGGAATAAGCCTGGCAGGAAGATCATGCCAGATAAAGGGGCAGCAACTGTGAAGACCTGGAGGCAGAACTGTCTGGGGAGCTCAAGGCCCAGCAAGCCCGCCAGTGGGCCTGGAAAAGTGTTACAGCTCACTGTGCATCTGTAGGATAGAAGTAACACCGTATTTCACCGAAGACACACATTTTTTCACATATTAACTTCTCAAAAGTCAGATGTAGCTTATACAACTAAGATTTGTTGAGATCTAGTAATGCTCTTGAGGTTCTTATTATTTAAGCTTGCTGTTCAATTAAATCCATTCTGCTGTTTTTTAAAAAACGTTGCAGTCCAGTTGAAGCGATAAAACAACTCAGAAAATCACTTTGAGCCACTAGTGAGAAAGCCATGGCAACATCACAAGACAGGAAGAATGGTGTTGGCCTCAAGGAGTGAGCCCAGGGACCGAGGGTGGGGCATGATGGTGCCGGCAGTTCAGGCAAAGTTGGACTGAAAGAGAGCAAGGTTTGGAGCAGCAGAGGTGTTGAGCAGCAGGGAGCATGGAGCAAAAAGAGGGCACAGTAAAGAAAATACATGCGTGGAGCCCAGGGGCCACTCGTTTGAAGCCAAGAATTCTATTAGGGAGAAGTGAGAGGTAGACAGGGGAAGGAGTATTGGGACCAACTCGTGGAAGCTTTTGGACATGCTTGGGCTTTTCCCCAAAGAAAGGGAAGGAAAATGGGAAGAAAAGTCAACTCTCAGGAGCACCTGTCATGTGCTGGGCTCTGACTTAGTAGCTGAGGACACAGTGGCAGGTGTAATGAGGGAAACAGAAACCCTTTAGTAGACATAGCCTTACCCCACCCCACACCCACACCTAGTTCTTTTCTGCACATTGTAATGTTGGTAGGATATAGAGGCAAAATCAAAACTGAGGAAGCTATAGGAGCTGACTGGGTTCATATGGAAAGGGACAGAACACTGCTGGCCTAAGAAATAGTGAAGATTCAGAAGAGGAGAGGCTGTGAGGCAAGAGAGGCAAGACCCAACCAAAGCTAGGTTCTCCATGAGCATTTAGAGAGAGCGGGAAGAGATCTGGGGGACGACTGTCATGGGGTTGAGAGATAGCATATGCGTATCCTCTGAATCGTTAGGTGGGATTTTTCCTTCAACGTTATTTGCCAGAGTTAAACAAGATATAAATGACTTGTCAGTGGTTTTGGTGGTTAGACTGGTGTTTCATTGAACCTTTTTCCCTGATGAGATTGGCCACGAGAGCAGATACGATGCCTGTCCTCAGGAAGGCCGCAGTCTAGAGTCCAGTAAGAGGGGCAGACACACGGCGTTAGCTTCAGAGGGATGCAGGGAGAATGTGCTAGAGGCATAGACGCTCATCACCCATCATCGTGGGAATGTGGCTGGGGGGTGGCTCTTTCTGCCTGGAGGAGGAGGACAGGTGAAAGTAGGTAACATTTAAAGTGGGAGTTTGCAGGCACTGCAAATGGCAAGGTAGGAAGGCATGAGAGTCTGCAGCATTTTGCAAGGAAGGGTGAAGTATCTGGTGAGGACAGCGCCGGGGGAGCTCTGGGGAGATACTGCTTCAAGGCAGGAGACCTAAGCTGGAGGCAGATGTAGAGAGGCCAAGTTTGTACCTTATCCTCATCCAGCAGGAACAACTCTGGAAAGGTTTTCTGCTGGAGCAGGAAGCTTGATGAGATCCCAGTCCTTGATGTACACACCCTGTCACTTGACTGCTTAGAATTAAATTCGGGCTCTGCCATTTACTAGCTGTGTAACTTTGGGCAAATCACATAATCCCTGTATATCTCATCTATGACACTGGAAATCGTAAGAGTACCTACCTCTTTGTGTTGTTTTAAGGATTGAGTTGGTACATGTCAAACATTTAGAAGTGTACTTGACACACAATAAGCACTTGGTCTGTCTTATCTGTTATATATTATATGACAGTTGCAACCCTCTTAAACCATAAACTTTTTGTTAATTTTAGTCTATTTAAACAGGGCTTTAAAACTTCCCCTATGCGTGAATTTATTGCTCCGTAGCTATAAAGAGTCAGTGCCTCTTGTGCAAAGCATTTATGAGGCGGGGGAAAGATCAATCTCTGGGCAGTGGTTTTAGACCCCCAACTGATCTTTCCACATAGCCATGGAGGGGAATACCTGGGCCTGCTTCACTCTTTTTGCAGTAAGCAGATGTTTTTCCTCTAGTCCTAATCTCTGCTGACACTCCTTGCTGGTTCAAAGCCCAAGTCTACACTGTGCCCCCAAACTGTGGTAGGTCCTGGAGTCCCTACGGGGCACAAGGCCCTGCCCCCGACCCTGACTGGGCTCACCACTTGGACTCGAAGTAAACACACAGTTCTGCCCCACCTGGGAAGTGCCATCAGAGATGGGGTGGGGGGCGCCATGGGCATACACAGAAGGGAGCTGGAAGAGGAGCTGCCTGCAGAGGAGGGATGAGACTCAAGAGGAAGGGCCACCTAAAAGCAGGCTGTTGCAGAAATGTAGGTCATCTTGGTTTCACCTTTCCCTCGTCTCTCAACCTATTTTTCTCAAAGAAGTTTCCAAAGCCCACTCCGAGGCCCAGCCCAGCAGGCCAAACAAGGTGGTGCAGCACCCACTAGGGCCAGCCCAGGTGGTGCCCAGGTAGGCGAAGCTGATCGTAGTCCTCGCCATCACCCCATCAGCCGCCTACAGACTCCGTGTTTGTTGATTTGAACTCACCTTCCATTGGTGACACTTCAACT